AGGGTATTTTCGTCAACTTCAATCATCTGCTTTATTACAATGGCAACAAGCTTCCCTTCGCTGCTGCGCAGGTTGGACAAGCCTTCCGCAACGAGGTATGTGACCGTATATATGGCCGTATCGGACTTTACTTCAATACGTTTGTTTCCAAGTCCTCCGGTCTTTGTAGGTGAATGATTATCGCTGTTTGTTTTGGAATAGCAATCGGGCTTGGCCGGGCTGTGAGACGTCCGTGGTCCTTTAGGTTCAACGCCCATTGAGCTGGTGTGAGGAATTGGAGCCATCGCCTACTGCAATATAGCAATTTTTCTGTTTCAGCTTATGATTACGGTGGTGATGCACGATGTGAGTAGCGTATCTAGTTGGTTATGTGTCGTTTGTTTTTTCCAGACGTCATCTTTCATTGCTTTTCACAATCGAGGCCGGGTAACTTCGCAATTAACCCGGGATGGAAATACTGGAAGCACTATTCAACTTCAGCTTATCAAATACCAACCGCAGCTGGCTGGCTGCACATCACGCTGTCTAACCATCCTTCCCCCTAAGTACCTGGCCTACCTTCCGTGAACTCCTAACCTAAGCGGATTTGTCGTACTTTTGATTGCTTGGAAACTTATGTAGGGCTATTCTTTGAGGACTGCTATTATAGTTTTAGCTATAGTCCATCTTGCCTACTGTTGCTCCGTAGGCAAGCCTGTTAATTCGTTTCAGACCTTCCCTAAATCGGTAGCTCACTGGCAGATGAGACCGGTCATCACCTCACCTCACCTGACTGCACGTGGGGCTGTCTGACGATTCCCTAAGTGCACGTCCAAAAGCAGACAAGGAAATTGGAAACCAAAGAACCCAATGTCTCTCAGGTAATTCAGACTCCGATGAATGATGGCGACCTGCCAGAGCCTACCCATCTGTGCTTTTGTAGCTTAGGTAATCTTTGATCCAAACTTGCAGAGAGACTGTAATCGGTCGGTTGGGTGGCCACACCTCCTAGGGATCACCCACCACTACTAATTAGGCAGGGGCCTGTTTTTGAATGAAAAATTACATTATTCGTCACTTTCACGAGCGGTACTGATGATGGTGGTTGATAGTCCGCTTTGATTTTTCGGCGATGCAGATAATAGCTTCATGCATCCGAAGGGATCTCCACGGACCGGGTTTAGCCTCACTGACGAGTCAGTGAAAGGCCGGCGAAAGTCTGTCACAGCTGTTAGTTTAAGGACCCAATCCCTGTGTCCACTCCGGGTCAAATAAATACCGAGCTTTTGAATGCTGGCATTTGTCCTTTTTCTTGTCTGCGCGTTGTGGCGGACATCGTTGTTGACCTTGCAGATTTCCCCGCGAGCTGGTCTTCTCCGTGTACGCGAGTTTACACTGGCTGAAATTGAGCATTTTGTGCATCCTGACAACAAGTCACATCCAAAGTTCGCGAATGTTGCTGATCTCAAGTTCCAGTTGTATCCTCGCGCAGAGCAGCTGGGCCCGAAGGAAACGGTGATCATATCACTTGGTGATGCTGTGAAAACGGTGAGTTTCCTCGCACCTTTCACTGCCTTGATGGGGGTTGGGGACGAGGGGCCTTGAGCAAAACAACAGCGTATCATTTCTCACGAGTGCGTGCGTGTTTTTTTTTTCTGGTGTGTGTGTGTGTGTGTGTGTGTGTGTGTGTGTGTGTGTGAGAGAGAGAGAGAGAGAGAGAGAGAGAGAGAGAGAGAGAGAGAGAGAGAGAGAGAGAGGAAGGGTGGCGGATGGAGAGCGGTGGGGGGCTGCTGATCGCTGAGTATTTGGTGTGAAATCTGTAGTGTGCAGTCGCTCTTATTTTACCGGTCTATTTCAGAACAGTCAACAGTATGTTGATTAATGTGTTGCTGTGTTTTGTTGCTATACAAGTGAGTCTGACCTATTACCTTACGGATTAACCTTTCCAGAAAGGAAGAGGTTGAAATGAAAGCAAGTTGACCAATAGAGGATGGCGAAGAGATGGGTTTGGGTCTTGTTTTCAGCTGTTATGATCTCGTCTGTAGCTTGCGAAAATTTGCAAGCATAAAATAGAACGGGAAAGGCAATAGACAATAGGAGGGCCATGAGAGCATCCATGTGAGTGCTAACGGCCTATGGTATGGCGGCCGTGGATTATAGTACCCTGTTGATGAGCTACTTTTCAGATTGCCGTGCGTTCGACTAGATCATGTGGGAAGGGTGTGGTCGAAATGGTCTATTGCTTCTGCTTTTAATTGCTTGCTGGTCTGTTCCATGTGCGGTGCACTTAGCCGGAGAGACTCTGAGGCAATCAGGTGCTGTATTTGCACACAAGGTCGTTGGGAGCTGTTTTTCCTGCATGGGCGTTTGATCTGGTTTTGTTGCGTTGGTGTTGTCGTCAGGGTACTATCAACAATGAGACACTTGGGTACTTCATCGGGAGGACGTATCTCTTCCTGACGGAGCTTGGTATTGATAAAGCGAAGCTTCGGTTCCGACAACACTTGCAGCATGAAATGGCGCATTATGCAACTGACTGCTGGGATGCGGAGATTGAGTGCACCTATGGTTGGGTGGAGTGTGTAGGGATTGCGGATCGGTCTGCTTATGACTTGACTTCTCATGCGGTAAGCATATGCCTTCTTGCCTTCTGTGGGAATGTATTTCTTCGCTCGATCCTTGAGCGCCATCTGAAATGTTGAATGTGCTGTCATGGGAGTGAATGACAATTGTTGCGCTTCGTTGAACTAGAGAGGTTTAAAGAAGCCTCGATAGGTTTATTATCGAGGGAATTCTCTTTTCTTGGTGTTCTTATCGTTTTGAAACTTGACAGGAACTTGACGGGATCTAAACACAATCCCTCCCCCCTAGAACACAGATGGTTCTCCTGGATCAAAAACGGGATATGGAAAATCGCTCACCTATGGAGCGAAGAGAGAAAGGAGTGGAACTGTGCTTTCGACATCTGTCTGATGGAGTGGAATGAGGAGGGCACGGTTGTGACTTTGCGGTCACGGTTGCCATTGCCATTGTGAAGTGGAGGGTGGTGGGCTGTTGGGGAGAGGGCTGGACATGGGCTCCTGGGTAAGGGAGGAAAAAAATGGTAGTGCCCAGGGAAGTGCAGCTTGATAATGCACACCTGCTCTGCCTTTTTTTCCCCTCTTAATATTGTGTCGAAGTTACCATTGCGAGGGTGAATTTGAGGTGGTCTCTGCTGGGTAGAGCGGGTGATGAGGGCTGCTGCGGCAAGGGAGGAAAACCATGAAAGTGTTGACGAGGAACGTAACCCTGCTTTTCTTTCTCTCCTCGTGTTTTTCTTAATTATTATTTTTTTATTTGCTGGTTGTCTGTGGGACTCGCTATGCTGGGGATTGGACAACCCTGAGGTCCATGAGGGTCTGTGTTCTATATATGGCGTTGTGGGAAAGTGTGTTGGTTGTGTATTCGCGCTATCGGAGCTAGCATTAGCGATCGTTTATTACCTGGGGTGCAAGTGTACCGTTTGAGTTGTTCGCAGGTCGAATTAGGTTGGCCATGGGATGGTAACACAGAGAGATTTGTTGTCGATAGCAACGGCCTGGCCATGAAGTTGGAGTTGTGCAAGTGAGTGATGAGACGGTTCAAGGTGGATGAACAGCTTGTTGGCGAAGGTCGAATTACGTTGGCCAAGGTCGAATTACGTTGGCGATGGAATGTTAAGGGAGGGGTTCGTTGCCAATGGCGACATCCTGGCCATGAGAAGGTTAGAGAACAAGTGGTAAAACAGTTAGAAACACCCGTTTAGTATAATACCAACGTTTTCAAGACTCGAATGGATTTTGAAGGCTCTTCGTACAGTCAAGGTGTATGAACAGCCTCAGTGTCGCATGCCCATCGTCATCGAAAAGGCGTAGCGCAAGTCCGGGGTGACAAGCTAGTTGTCTATGCTCGTAGTTGGTGTGAATGATTTAGTCCATTTTTTTTAATTTAAATTCAAAATGACCGTGGTAGTCCATGCCGTAAATGATGAGTGTTGGTCGTTGGTCTACGCCCGGTGTTTTTTTGGAGGCGATTCGATGAGGGACCTCGATGATGCTGTTGCCATAGCCTAAAGCTCTGCGTAGGTCAGCCACGTATCTGTCTTGGGGTGACAGTAGAAAGGCTGCAACGAAGGGCCATAAAATGAACCACGGCCCTATGGCCGCTCATAAAGGGTTGCGGGCTAGGGTGCCCAAAATTGAGATCTCCCGCGCAGGGCCCATTGGCTAGTCTCGTGCATGCCACATCTCCCCTCCCTTAAAATATCACCTCCTGTGAAGGCAAAGCTGACGATCTGAAGGGAGATTCCTACTCGTGGGTGGCTGGGAAGTTTGAAGGCAAAGCTGACGATCTGAAGGGAGATTCCTACTCTTGGGTGGCTGGGAAGTTTGAGCTTGGGACGCATTGCAAGCAAGTCGACTATGATCCTGGTCGGTGTAAAGCGATGATGTGCGGGGCCATAGCCCCAAGCTCTTGGGTCAGCCAACGATCCACATTGGGGTGATAGGGGCGGGTTTTCTTGCACAGGGAGGGGTGGTTCTTTGCCATGGTCACAATGCGAGACAGGACAGTTACGAGCGCACTCTGTACTACACCGGCATTCTTCCCACAGTGCTGTTGTGTTATGGTGTGTGAAACCTCTTGAAAACCGTCCACGGAAGGAGGGTCTTGCAAACTTCGTTTGGGAAACAGGACTGTCTCAGCTGAAGTGAAAGGAGCAAGCTTTGACGCATGAAAGAAAAGATGTACCAGTGAGGCATAACAAACGAGGGGCGTTTGGCTGATCGCTGCTGCAAACAGAATCGTCCAAGGTCTGATCCACTTGGGAAGGAGCTTCCCCAAGGTCCCTCTTGCTCGATCTGGACTCCTCAACAAATTCCCATACTGAGTCAGCCTCTGGGGAAAAGGACAAGAAAATCCGTGCTCGTTGCCCCGCTGCCTTGCCTTGTGCATTTTGAAAGTCAGGTCATGTTTCCTGAGGTGATGTGCCTTGTGCATCTTGTCCAGGGCTTTGAAAGTCAGGTCATGTTTCTTGAGCTGATGTGCAAGCGTGTTGGAGACATGTGACGCAGCTGAACAAGAACGAGGGAATCTGCGGGAAAACAATCCGGCTGCTGTTCTGAGCTCGAACTGTTTTCCCGGCTGTCGTTCTGAGCTCGAACAGAGATACTCTGATTGCCGGATGCAACGTAGTGCTGTATGGTAGGATAATATGCGGGAGCCACTGAACCCAATCTCTTTGATCCAGGCAGAGGAGGGTGCGAAGCATAATCTGGGCTGTGGAATGCGCTGTCTGAAGATGGCAGGTGAAACTCAGTTTAAGGGTAGGAGCCAAATGCTCTATGAGGGCTGTCCAAGAATAGCACACGAACCGAGTGTTGTGGTTTTGGCCTGTGTCCTTGGGAAATCGCTTGAGATATGTATAGCCCGCACGACAAGTATCTACCAGCTCATGGGCCTTTTGTTTGAATGTGCCGGAAATATTTACAGCATTGGTTAGTGCCCAACTTTACACTGCCAGAACCGGATTCAAGGTTCGAAGCTGCAGACAAAGCAATGAATTTCCTCTCTGTCTGTATCTTTCAAACTTTGAATTTGATTCTTGCAGTGTGCTCGTCAGGCACCAACCAATGCTGCAAACCATTCTGATATCTTCAAATTACCACTGCTCCTGCTGTAAATATTTCTGGTATGCTCAAACTGCCATTGAGTCTTCATGCATTCATTTTGGAAAGGGCGCGCCGCCCCCCTCTCCTAATCATTAAACCGCCAGTCGATCGGACCCTGAACTGTAGATTTTGGTGGTTACAAAATACTGTAGCCAAATGTACAGTGATCGGCAAGCCTTAGGTTTGGAGTGAAGAGGTTGGTGGGCCCCCAAAAGATGTTTCGAAATCGAAATCAGGAAAAGAAAATTGAGAAAGCTATGAAGAACGAAACAAAGGAAGCAAAAGGAAGAAACATGTACTTGGCCGTGATAACAGTAAGACACATTCTGGAAAGTACTGGTGTGAGTATGCCCTCAGTGAGGGTGTTTCCTGAGAAACTTGGAATATGCCCGGCCTTTCTGGCTGGGCACTAACAAGTAAAAAACAATAACAAAGATTTGGCCGTAATATTGGTCAGATGCATTCTGGAAAGTACTAGTGTGCGTATGCCCTCGGTGAGGGCTTTCCTCATTGATGGTGATTTATGTAGTTATTTTCTTTTTTTTTTAGCCATGTGCGGGCACGAGGTACAGCACTTCAGTTTTAGGTTGGTCCCTCAAAGAAAATAACGATATGCACCACAGATTGAAGGCTATGCGGGAAGCATTTTTCAGTTGTTCCTTAGTTTGAATGGACTGGTGGTTTAATCCTCCCGAGCCAAGCCGAAGTGGTCCTTGTATCAGCATATAGATAGCAGAGCGTTGTCAGTGTGATACATCCCTGGTCTGATTACATTGAATCTGTGGACGGAGCCACGTCCGTTTCCAAAGTGGGTGAGGTGGTTGGTTGCTGTTTGCTATTATTTTCGAAAGGTTTCGAAATATTTTGCCTGTTCGGGCAAATGCAAGGAAGATGAGCAATAGCGAATTCCAGAACTCAAACAGCATCATACATGAGTGACCAAATAGCCATGACCTCGAACCATAAGCAGAATGGCATCACGAGTTATACCAAATAAGAACACAGCAATAGTTCATAATTGACAATGCTGAAATTGTCTCTCATCATCATCAACGAAGAACAAGAGTTGGTATCCTATTGGCGCTCGGCGCCCAGACTACAAGATGGCAGATCCTATCTAGCCTACTACTACAATGCCGAAGTTGACGTCAACAGCTTCACCGAAGTACGAGCATATGCGGCCAATGCCGCTCGCCTCAAGCACCAGGTATGACTCCCGCTTCGCTCTCAACCCCGATCCTCACCGCACAGATGCCTCTAGCACCCAAGGACCAACCTGCGACCATCCAAGCTTACAGCAGGCAGCGTGGCTATGGCTGCCTGCTTCTTCTACACTCGCCCGTGAGTGCGAGGGCGCCAGCCAGCAAATAGCGCAGCAGCGCTGTCGCCGCATGCAGCCAGCACCCGAATGTCAAATGAGGAGGCTGGCCCTTCCCTATATCCCCATGGCCTGCCTGCGTCCAGTCCAAGAAGCTTCCAGTAGGCCCCGGTAGCCTGAGGCCCAGTCACGAGGAATGCAGGCATTGGGCCTGAAGTAGTTGCATGTGCCCAACTGCTTTCGGCCTGTGCTTGGCCCGGTACCCGTACCCAGCCCAGGGCCTGCTTTACATTCATTCATACGGGCGGCCCAGGGCCGGAGTTCATTCAACCAACTGATGCTGTGCAACTGCCTGAATTTCCCCATTTGCGGGGGTACCCTGAAAACGAGGCCCTGAGGGCCTGTCGTGACTGCCTTCACTTAGGGCGGCCGACCTTGTTGCAAATAAGGCCCGTAGGGCTAAGCGGGCATATAGCCTCGCACAAAATGTTTGGATGCTAGCAGTCTTAGCGGATCTGATACTGTTTGCTGGTGTGGTTGCTCATGCTGGGGCGCTTGCTTTGAGGAGGTAATCTTGCTTTGCAGGCGAATTTGTTAGTACGCGTGGATGGTTGGTTATGGT